TCTACAAGAAAACAAAGGAGAAATTCCTTATGATTTTGGATTAGGTCCTAGATATGACACCGGAAGCACAATCCACGAAAGAAGGAATTAATAAATTAGAATTTATCAATATTAAAAACTTCTGCTCTTTGAAAGATACTGTATAGAGAATGAAAAGACGCATCAAAACCTGGGAAAAAGATTTGCAAATCCTCTCTCTGATAAAGGCCTTGTACATAGAGTATGTACAGAACTCCTAAAACTTAACAACTAGCTGTTTTGTGCCAGTCTCAGCCTATCAATAACCAGTGCTGTGGGTGGACTGGCCCTTGGGGTTCTTATTTGCAAGATGCCCTTCAGCAATAACTCTCAGGAAACCTTGAAAAAATAAAGGCATATTACTCACAGGCCTTGGGCCACACAGCAAGGTTGCAGGCAGAGAGAGAAAGAGGGCACAGGCCTGGGGTTCTGCTTTGACTGGGGCAAAGAGTGGGAGCCTAGGGCTTCAAGGGCTCACTCTTTATTGGCAAATTTAAAATATAAAAGTGGGAATATAAAGTGTGAGATGAGAGAAAAAGAAAGAAAGAAAAAACCAAGTGGTCCAAATGGCCAGTTATCTAAATCAACCAGCTTCTCTAAAACAAAAAAGCCTCAGTGGAGCAGAGGGGCCTGGCTCTTTACCTGGCCCTGGGGCTGACACTGTGTTTATTGGGGATGGCCATCTTTGAAGTGGACACCTCTTTGAAATGGATGCCTCCACAATCAAAGCTTAAGCCAGGCACTTGCATTAAAAAAAAAGAAAGAAAGAAAGAAATGTTAGGGAGCCCACTACACCATGGAAAGGGAGACAATGTTTTCAAATCACATATCTGCTAAGAGTGGAATATTCAGAATATAGAAAGAACTCTTACAACTTGTGATGTTTAGTCTTCTGTGTCAATTTGGCTAGGTTACAATACCCAGTTATTTAATCAAGCACATCTAAAATCAGCTGACTTTGGAAAATGTTAGCCTTGAAAATGTGAGTGGGTCTCACATACTCAGTTGAAACCCATAAGAGGAAAAATTGAGGTTTCCTGGTGAAGAAGAAATTATGCCTCAGATTGCAGTTTAAAAGCCTGCATTAGGGGTTGGCCCAGTGGCACAGCAGTTAAGTGTGCACAATCCGCTTCTCGGCGGCCTGGGGTTCGCCTGTTCAGATCCTAGGTGCAGACATGGCACTGCTTGGCACGCCGTGCTGTGGTAGGCATTCCACATATAAAGTAGAGGAAAATGGGTATGGATGTTAGCCTAGGGCCAGTCTTCCTGAGAAAAAAAGAGGAGAATTGGCAGTAGTTAGCCCAGGGCTAATCTTCCCCCCAAATAAAAAGAAATCCTGCATTAGACATTCTAGTCTGCTTGCCTTCCCTATAATTCAAACTTACCAGCACCTATAATCAAGAATAATTCCATGAATAAATCTCTAGAAAGAAATGTGTGTATATGTGTCTATGTGTGTATATATATACATACATATAGTCGTGCACTGCATAATGATGTTTCCATCAATTATGGTCTGCTTACACAATGGTGGTCCCATAAGATTAGTACCTTGCAGCCCAGGAGTATAGTAGGCTATGCCATCTATGTTTGTGTAAGCACAGACTATGATGTTCACACAACATCAAAATTTCCTGATGAGGCATTTCCCAGAACATGTCCCCATGATTAGGTGAGGCATGACTGTATGTTTGTATTCAGAAATGGATATGTTCACTTTATAAATAAATATGTTTCTTTTCTCTGGAGAACTCTAATACAGATTTTGGTACCAAGGATGGTTCTAGAGGAATAGAATCTTAAAGATGTGTTTTCTGAAATGGTTCTGGGGTTTCTGGAATTGGTTCTCTAATCTGATTCAATTGAAAGGCACCAGAGACCCTATTTCCAGTGTTAAAGAGGACGCTGCCAGTTGATGGCAGGCTGTGGCAACAGAGGTACACAAAATATCACCACTGGATATTCCTAACCAAATGTTTGTAAAAAGGAAAGTTCTCAGTGATCATGTATTTGATACGTCAACCATTCTTGACAAATTAACAAATGCAATGAAATCAGCTAACTGTTCCTAATTGCACTTGATTAAATGAGAAAAGAAAATGATGAGCACAGGCTGTCAAATTCCCAGCTCAGCTCAACCACCATAACTGACCTGAAGTGTCTGTACCTTCCCTGAAACAAACTCTTACTTCCTGTAGCTTCAGAGCTGAGATTTCTGAAAACCTAACCCGGAGTCTCTTCCTGCAAGTGGCTGAATTACAACACAGGTTGAATCCGCATCTGCACAGTGGTGAAAGTGATGGCATTGATTTAGTAGTAATTGGGTCCTGAAAACTGGAATGGGGGCGTAAGTCAGTTCCTGATTAAGCTGGAACATTTAACTCACTCCACGTGGCACAGAGTTGGCCTTGTCAGTGGAAGCAGCCCTCCTCCTCCTCCTGTCTGAGGAGGTTAACTCTGCTTTTCCTGAGGATCCTGTCACCATGTCCCCTGAGGTCATTGCCTGGCAAGACACTGCTGAGCCTCCTCAGGACCTATACCCACCAGCCTTGGTGCTTCTAGACCAAGACTCAGTCGAGGTGAACTTGACTCCTAGCATGTCCCAAAGCATGAGATACAAAAGGGGACCCATGAAGAATTGTGCTACACTCCAAAATTACCGCATCCTCTTCCTAGTTCACACAGACAGAAACCTAGGACAACTGTGAAGAAGTGGGCTATTAGAGGGTTGGGATAATGGAGGAGGGAACACGCAGTTGATTCAGTGGAATGAATTGATTTGGCCCCACTCAGCAGAGGTTCTCTATTCAACGTTGTGTCTCAAGGGGGTACAAAGAGTTCTAACAGTCTGTTCAGTTGACTGGCTCTAACATGGACCAAAATGTGGAGACCACAAGATAAAATGGAACGTTCTTGGTGTGCTGTAGAAGAAAGGATCAAAATAATCATTCGAAAGCAGCACAGAGAGCTGAACAACTCAATGGAATGAGGAAAAAAGGATAAGATCAAAGGAAAAGTTCAAAGACAGGAAACATACAAACATTAAAAAAAACAATTTTGGGGATGAGAGTGTAAAAAACAAAAGATTGACATGTGACCCTTGCTGCAAATATGGGTCTCTTTTGGGTGATTAGCTGCACTTTTGGCCAGTGGAAGCCCAAACATGCACTAAACAGCCCCTCATCTGCCACAGCTGAACTACAAGACTTACTAATGTTGCTACCTGCCGGGTCGGCTCTCAGGAGCACCCCAGTCCTGGAGGAGACTCTCCTGGGACACCCATGCCTTCATCCCGGCCCTGGACTAGCCCTGGGACCTGCCACGACTCTTTCTTCTGCGAGGGACAGCACAGCGTTCCCCACCTTCCTCTGGCAAGTCTCTTTCCTGGGTGTCTGTGCCACATCAGCAAGGGCCTGGGCTGCTGGGAACCAGGGTTTATCCTCAGCTTCTGGCTGTGCTGAGACAGCCTCCCTGACAGAGCCCAGCCTGCCGTGTGTCTGAGTGACACTTGCAGCCACCAGGAAGGAGAGGACGAGTCAGAAGTTCCAAGTGATTCACCCGGCCCTTGTCTTTCAGGCTGTTTCCAAGGGACGAGATTGCAAAGGCTGGGTGGTCAGGCTTCCCCTCCTGGCTCTGGAGCCGGTGCTCTGGTTGAGCTCAGAGCAGTGTCTGTTTAGCACCCAGATGAGAAGCATTTCAGCATTTCTCTTGGTAAGGCTGTGTCCACACACATCCAGAGATCATCAGGTTGCTGGCAATCCCTGTGGAACCCCCAACTCACACCCTTCTTAGGCCTCCTCTTTCAAAGCTCCCAACAGGAAAGGCACATATCCCCATGACAGAAACACAGCACAAGACTGTGGAAAAGAACACAGCTAGCTGAGGTGCTGCACGCTTGCTGGGCTCAGGCACTGCAACGACTTTAGGAAAATTCACTGTAAATACTCTAGATTGTGTAAACTTGGGACTGTCCAACACCATGGGCCTGAGAAGCACACAGGCCCAGAAGACACCTCGGCAACAGGGAGACTGTGGGGTCATTCCTGGTCAGGATGATCATCTATCCTCCTGAGAAAGCAGAGCTCACCTGGGATCCATCAGGCCCAGTCTGGGAGGAGTGGCCACTGTGGACCTGGCAGAAAGGCTGGGGGCATCTAGGGAATTTCTGCCCTAAGATACAATTGTATGCAGAAGTGCAGAGACGCTGAAAATCCTAGCTCACAGAGAGCACTAGGTTTATGGAGGGAGACCTGGCTGAGGCCCTAAAAGCTGCATCCCACAGCTTTCCCCTTGGAGAGACAACAAGCAGGAAATGGTATTCTGAGTCAGGGAGTAGAAACCCAGGAGGAGCAAGTCTAGGTCAAGGGTGAACAGGGAGCCCTTCAGTGGGCCGGAGAAGGCAGAGTCCTTCCTCCCCAGGGTCCATCTGCACAGGACATTCCTCTGGCCTTGTCCTCTTCACGTGCACATTTTGAGCTTTTGACAGTATTTTCCCCACTTAGAGCTGAAGCCATTCCGGAAACTGAATCAGAAAAGAAGGTCCTAATCTGTGTGCAAGAGAAACTGGGAAAATCTTCCCTCTTCCAGCAGAGTGTAGAAAGGCAGCCACTGTCCTGGGCAGGACATGTGCTAGGGAGAGGCAAGTGCTAGTTTGAAAGGCACCCCCAGCTCAGTGGTTGTCGCTTTGCCTGAGAAAGTGCCTCCAACCTCTTAGTCCCAAGGTTGGAGGGGCCATCTCTGCTCCTGGACAGTGAGCCACACTGCAATGATCCTGTCCTCAGAGGGAGGGGGACTTGGGCATGTCCTTCAGTAGCCAGGCAGGGGACTGGCATTTCTCCCTTCTCTACATAAACTGAGCTGATGATGCTGCGAGGTTTCTAAACTCTAGGAGGAATGTGAGTTTCTGGATCCCACTTCCATGAGCACGGCGAGTGAAAGATGCACACCTCCAATCCCAGGATTACAAAGAAGCAAGAATTTAATATAATACTCAAACGGAGCATTTACCATTGACAACAAAATATGGCCCCTCCAAATAGGGAAATAGGTGCTGGGGAAAAGGGGGTGGGAGAAGAGGTTTGGTGCCTCCCATAGTGGCCTCCCCAGGACCCCAGGAAACGCATCACAAAGTTCTCATCAGAATCAGAGGAGGTGGCCCTGTGTACCCTGAGTGTCCTTGCTGTGTCCCCCTGTAGCTCAGCTGCTCTCAGGAGGGTCATCGACCACCACCACTGGGCCCTTGGTTGGGGGTCTGGTGTCTGGAGAAAGAGAGGCATTTCCTGAAGGGCCTGCCCTGGAACCACATCGCACACCCCCTCCCTGCCCCACTGTGCTCTGTGCTCCAGCCCTGTCCTGAATGCTCTGACAGCCAACAGCACCCCATCTGTCCCTGATACAGGGGCTGATATTTAGCATCACCCTTTTCACAGAGGAGGAAACCAGTCCCAGAAATGTGAGTGCAATCGCCCAGGACAGGACTGCTCAGCAGTGGAGCTGGGACCCAGGGCCAGCTGTCTGCCTCCCCAGGCCCATGCTCAGCTTGAATGTTTCCTGAGCCCGTGGATTCAGCCACTGCTGGTGCAGACACTCACTCTGCCCTGAGCGGTTCTTCTTGTCTTTGAAGAAGAGTCGAATCTTTCTGGCGCAGTGGTATCTGGGCTCTAGCTGGCAGGACAAGCTGTAGCTACAGGACAGAGTGGAGCTGTGAGCTCTCAGGAGCCACACATCACATGTGTGTCCTGGAGCCTGCCAGCAGGTGGAGTCCAAGGGCCCCAGGGGTCACCATGCAACCAGATCTGAGGCTGACCAGGGAGCCATGGCCATGGGCTCTGGAGCTGGTCAGCAGAGAGAGTCTGCCCTGCCCTCCCCCAACTCCTGACCCGCCTCACCTCTCCTCCTCACTCAGGGGCCCCACGGCCTGGAACCAGGCCCCAAAGTGCTCGTCGGGCTGCAGGGTGTACAGATTTTCAGCCTCCTGGAGCAGCTCGATCTCCTCCATCAGTTTGAATTGCTAGGACAGAGCAAGCACAGGATGCCCACAGGGCCTGAGTGGGGGAACCTGCAGGGCTCTTGGAGCGGGTGGGGAGGGGGGCAAGGAGCCAGTCTGGGGCCTTTGCTCACTTGGGAACCCTGCCTCCCTGCAATTCCAGTCAGGACTTGCCTGCTGTCACACTTGGCCAGAAATAGCTCCTCCTCCAGGAAGGTGTCTTTGATGCCAGCCCTTCCCCCACCCACCAATGCCATCTGATCCCCAGCTCTGTATATCGAACTGTGCAAGTAAATTTTCCACCCTGGGGATTGGGCCAGAGGGGGTCCTGCCCACGGGTGGGGGACTCTCTGATTTGCACACCCCCAACCTCCCCACCGTGAGGCTGCAGCTGCTTACCTCATTCCATTTCCGACAGTTGAGCACATTCCCCTGGAAAGCGGACAGCCACAGTCCATCAGAAACAGCCCCCGGGGGCCAGCACTAACCCCTGTCCGCATCTCTTCCAATGTTGCACTGTTGCCAGTGGGCAGGCCCTTCCAGAGACACGACTTGCCCCTGGGCCAGTCTCTGGGCTCCAGACCAGGGGGCACAGAGCAACTGAGGCAAGAGACCTTGTAACCCAACACTCTCTGATGACACGTGGGGAGACTGAGGCCTCAGGCAGGAAGGGACAGCTCAGCCACTGATGTGCTTCCTACTGGGACGGGCCAGACTTCTCTTCCCTCATGGGCAGGGCCAGAGGGAGAGGCTGAGTCCAGCTCAGGCACCACCTCCTGCGGCCACACAGTCAGGCAGCTCTGAGCCTCAGCAGCCCAGGGAACCTGGACTGTGGCTTCTGCAGAGCCTGCATCCCTCACTGGGGAGATGGGCCTGACACCCCGACTCCCACACGAGGCTGGAGGCCCTGCTGAGATGAACTTTGCCAAATGCAGAGAGCTCAGGGCTCAGGGCAGGACTCTCTCCTCCCCACCCTCAGGAGCCTGAGCCCTCGGACCCACCTCCGGGCTCACTCACCTCCACATAATCCTCCATCATAGCATCCAGCAGCTCCAGGGAACTGAAGAATGTCACCAGGGAGGGGACGACACCCTGTGCCGCCATCGGGGTGGGCAGAGTGATGAGCTCCTGCTCTCAGGTGCCCCCATGAACCCTCCCCTGAAACCCCTCATCCCAGCCTCCTGCCCACCCCACGCTCCCACACAGAGCAGCCTAGGATCCTCAGGACACCCCAGGACACACAATTCCCTCCTCCCCTCACCTCCAGGAACACGAAACTCCATCAGTCAAGTCCCAGGGCTGGCTGTTGGCCCCTCCCAGGGGCAGTGGCCCCTGCCCTTCCCCACCCCAAATCTGTCCTGCTGCCAGCCCTTCCAGGCCTCCTCCTGCTCACTGCCAATGCAGGCACATGATGCTTGGCAGCCACAACAGATGCGCCTGAGGAGGAAGGCCCCTCTCCTGAGGGAGGTCTCCAGCTGGGAGGGGGAGCCCCCTCTCCTCTGACTCCTAGGCCCCTCCCCCACAGTCACCCTCATCTGCTGTGGCTGCCTCTCCTGGGATCCCTGGCGGGCCCTCTCTGCAGTCACTAACACGGAGGTCGCCTCCTGTCGGGGCCGAGGACAGGGTCAGTGTGCCCGTACTCCCCTCCACATGTCCCCCAAGGCCCCTGATCTCAGACTCTGGCCATCGGCTCCAGTCCCCTGCTGCCTCTGCTGCTCCCACCTCCAGGGTGCTCTGATTCTAGACCTGTCCCAGCTCCAGGACTCAGTCCTGTGTGACCTTGGCCCTGCCCAGGCCACCCTGTCCCTCTTTCCTCATCTGAAAAGTGTGAGGAGAACGTCACCTGCTTCCAGGAGTCTCCTGAGGACACAGGGTCATCTGCGTGTCATCACTGCTCTCCCCTCACCTCTCGAGGAGGAGCCAGCACAAATCTCCTCCCTTTCCTGTCCTCCCTTGGATGGTAACACCCCGCTGGGAGGCCTGCACCTCTGATCATTTCCCTCCACCTCCCGGAGCAGGAGACAGAGGCCCCCAGAGGGGCAGTGACTGGCTCAAGGACAAACTGGGAGAGGCTGCTCCCCATTCCAGCTACAGGCCCTGTCCCTGCTTGCTTCACCGCAACCCTGGCTCCAAATCTGACCAAGGCCCCGACCTCTGGACTCCAGGGGTGCGTCCAGACCCCAGCTGAACGGACAGGGAGGGGGAGGGCAGGGTGTCTTGGGGGACCTGGCCGAGTGGCCCCAGCCTGCCCCACCCTCACAGGGCTCTCTGACCCCCAGCCTGGGCCGAGCCTTGCCATACCCTCACCTCCTAGGATGCCCTCGGGATGCTCCCCTCCCCCTCCTTCTGGCCTCCTTCCAGATCTCCAGCCTCCAGGTTACCTGCACCAGCAGCTCCCTGCTCACGCGTTCCTCTCTCCTGACCCACTTCTTCCAGGTTCGAGAACTCTCCCTGCGGGGTGGGGAAAGAAAGAAAGATAACAAGAAAAACTGTGGGATGCTTGAAGGCAAGTCCCATTTATTTGAGAACCCAGCAGATCCAAACTGCCTGGGGCCTGGGTGAGGGATTTCACTGGGCTGCCCTGAGCTCTAAGGTCCCCATGGGACTGCGGAGGGGCCTCTCCTCTTGTCCCCTGGGGCCTCCATTCCCAGATGTCCCAAACAGATCTCTTTGGAACAGTGTTGGTTTCAGCTGCATAGAGACTTCTGTTGATGCAAAGGAAACACTTGACAATCTCCACCTGGACTCAAGCCAGGATCTGGTCTGGAAGGAAATGAATCCCTGGGGCAGAACTGTTGGCCTAAGGGTGCTGAGAGACAGAGACCCAGCACCAAGGTCAGTCCCTGTGCCCGGCGTTCGCTGTCTCCCAGGTGGTCTCGGCTGACTTTGGGGGACATGCCGGCCCAAAGCAGGCTGCCTGGGCCACCTCACCCTCATGGTGCTTGGCTGGAGAGCAGCCTACCCACCTGGAAACTTGTCCCCAGGTCTCTTGGAGACGGGTAATGGGTAATGGCAGGACTCTGCAGGGCAGAAAGGTTTGTGTGGAGGGAAGAGAAGTTTCTGAGGCCTCGGCACTCCTGGGGAAGGGAAGAATTGGAGCTGTGAGGGGGAGCTGAAGCTCTGCGGCCTCTGGTTTCTGTCCCCTCACGGACTTCTCCTGTCCTGGATGTCACAGATGCCCAGGGAAGCCAGGGAGGGCACACCTGTCACCCGACGAGTAACACTGCCAGGCACAAGGATTTGTAGCTCAACACAAGGAAGGAAGTGAGCTTGTCCCCACTGGGACCTCAAGTCAAGGTCAATGTGGCCCTTGCAGGAGGGTCAAGGGACAGTCCAGGGACTAAGACCCCAGACTTCAACCCTGAGAGCTGAGAAACAAGAGGCAATTCCTACGCCTCCAGACAGGGCCTGCCAAGGCTTACCTCAGCCACCCTTATCCACAGCTCAACCACCCTGGCCCTGTCCTGCGCTGTCATGCTCCGGTCCCCAAGGCAAGTGAGGAGGATGCAATTGGCCACGGTGTTGTCGTGCATCACAGTGTCACGAACGGTGGGTGCCAGGTACTTGCGTTCCCTGTTGTCACGCTGGGACCAGATGGAGCCGAGGCAGTGGGCGGGCACCAACGTCTTGAACAGCTCCTGAAGAAGATTCAGAGTGTCACCCGACCCTGCAGCACCCCAGCTCGGCGTCCACAGTCCCCCATAGGCCCAGGCAGGGTGAGATCAGAGCTGGAGCTCAGGAAGCAGAGCATGTGGCCTGAGGCTTGTGGGAGTCCCTGGGTTTTGTCTGTGTCCACTGAATGCACCCAGTCCAGGATGACCCCAGACACAGTACTGTGGGGAAGGGAGGGGACATTTGCTCCCAGCCCTGTCTCACTTCCTCCAAGCTCCAGAACGCAGCCCACATATGCCCACCAGAAGGGCCATCATCCACCCTTCCCAGTCCCCATTCCCATGCACATTCCCACGAGGCAGGGACAACCCCCAGCTTTGTTTGACTGTCTCCACTGGAGTCAATACACATCACCTTCCTGCTAAGTGCTGAGGCTGTCCGGGCCACCTGCACAGATGGGGGATCCACCCAAGGACCAGGCAGCACTTCAGTGAGTGCCTATCCCCCACCAAAGGGCCAAACTCTGCCCACCTTCCACTCTCTCCCACCTCATTCATCGGCACAGCCACCCTGTGCAGCAGGTGCTCTGCACGTCGGTCTCTACTGTCCCCTGTTCACTAGGGCACAGCTAAGGCTTGGGGGGAAAGAAACCTGCCCAGGTCACACTGTTGGTAAGGGAGGGAGCAGGGGTTTGGACCCAGATCATCAGAATCCTGAGCAGGGAATGCCAGCTGTGGGGCAGCTCATGGCACCAGGAAGGCAGGGGCCACCAGCCCTGTGAGCCCAGCTACTCACTGCAGCCATCCTCGTCAGCTGCTCTGCCACCAGCTGGGGAGGGAAGTCCAAGAGGTTCGACCTCTCCTCCCGCAGCTGGTCCTTGGTGGTCACGGCCCAGGGGCAGCTGGGCTCTGGGGCTGGATCCAGACGGCTCGTGACTGGTGCAGATGGAAGTGGAAGGCTCAGTAGAGCGCAGCGTCCAGTGGGCTCCAGTTCAGGAGCTGGCTCTGGGGCTGCCTTTAATGGTGGCCCTTGCTCTGGTCCTGGAGTGGCTGACTCAGGGGATGCTGGCTCAGCTCTATCACAGGTGGTGAGACTGGAGGTGCAGCTGGCTCTAGCCCGGGGGCTGGTGCTGGCTCTGGCTCTGGAAGTGGCAGCAGCTTTGGAGCTGGCTCTGGAGCAGGATAAAGAGAAAGTTTCACTCACACACTTGACAGGTTCTGTGCCTTTCCAAAGACAGGAAGGACTCCACTGCCTTTAAGGGAACTCTAGCCCATGAACCTCAACATAGACAGTCTTCCCAGACTCCAGTCCCCTGACCTTTCTGTTCGGCCTCAATGGCCTTGAGCTGCTCCAGGTGGCCTGGCAGAAGGTAGGCATGGCCCTCCACGGGTGAGCCACCAAAGCTGACATGCAGAGTGGCCAGCTGCAGGGTCCAACAGGGAAACTGCAGGGGCTCCCTGCAATCCTGCCCTTGGCCCAGCCAGGTTCCCAGCAGGAAAGAGCACTGGGGGGAGGCAGATGGGCCAGAGAGTCACTGGCCCGGCCTTTCCTTAAACACTGCCTGCCCAAGGCACTCTTGTTAGCATCTGTGCCCCTGTGCCAGACCATCCCCCTCCAGGGGAGGGCCCGATCCCAGCCCTGAGCCCTGGCTGGCTGTCCTGGCAGTGCCAGGCCTGCTCATCCAGCAGGCTGAACACAGTCTGTGAGAGTCTCTTGTTCCCACCGACACTCTCCTCCCCAAGGGTCTGGACACAGCCCACCCAAGCCCTCCATGCATGTGGGCCACTGGAATGAAGACTTCAGCAGATTTGGGAGCAGCTTGCTCACACACCTCATACTATGGACCTCGGGGTGGTGCTCACAAGGGGTGGATGTGGAGAAAGGGAGGCAGAAGGATCCAGGACTCTGCTGGGGGTGGGTCTCTAGGGGACAACTCAGCCCAGCCTCCTTTCCAATTCTCAAGGGGCCTGGGACCCATGCACAGCTCTCTTTGAGTCCAGTCCTGCTGGAGTGGAAGCCACCAGAACTCAGCCTTCCCATGGGAATCACAAGATGGGTGAGATGCAGGGTTCTCCCAGGCCTGCCCCAGCCACAGCCTCCATCCTCTCCCCCCACCCTGTTTGCTAGACACAGGAGGCCCTCCATCTGGACCCAAAGACCACTCACTTTGGGAGGTGGTCCTGTCCTCCAGCATCCCGCACACAATGGGCCAAGCTGCCTCCATGTGTCCCAAAGGGGATGAGGGCATCGTCTGGGATGTAGGGTAGATGGGACCTGTGAATGATGTCAAGTGTGACTGTCTGACTCTCAGACTAGAGGGGAGGCCCAGGGAGGCTGTCTGCTTCATTCACTGAGTGACAGTGTGTCCAGAAGTCCTGCTCAGAGTAGGTCCTTCATAGATATTGTTGAATGAACTCCAACCAGAACCAACCCAGGTGTCTGAGTGGGCCTGTGGCCCCTCTGTGGCCCTAGAGATCCCTAAGTGGCTACACCAACGACAAGCACCAGGACCAGCTGAACGGCATCTCAACCTCCTTGACAGGGTGCTTTCCAGGTGCTTTTCCAAACTCAAAAAGCCACAAGCCAGTGAAGGGAGAGGAAGACTACTTTCCATGGGGGACAGACAAATAATCACCACCAGCAACCACAGCATGGCCCACCACCCTCTCTGCAGAGCCGGGCACCAGGGCAGCACCTGGATGCCTGATCCCATTCATCCCTGGGAGAAGCCTAGCAAGTTCATCCTCTCCCACCCCACGTTTCAGAGGAGCCAACTCAGGCTCAGAGAGATGTGGTGACATTCCCAAGACAAGACACACAGCTGGCAGTGGGCAGACTCACCACTGTGCTGAGGACGAGGCGGGCAGTCACCTGGTAAACAGCTGGTCCAGGACCTAGTGGGATGTGCTGGAGCCTGAGTAGCTGCAGAGGGAGGTGGTGACACTGCAGAGGACTCTGCTGGGGAAGGCTGTCAGCACAGACTCTGAGAGCCTCTGCATCATGCCTACCTGGAGGGCACGCATCCTGCAGGCCTCCGTTACAGACAGAGTGGACTCATCTTCATGCTGGGTGTGACAAGGAGGGTACAGGGTCAGGGCCACCACTGGAACCACCAGCTTTATCAAGGTTTGCAGCTGACCCAGGAACTCCTAGCCCCTCCCAGACATGTGCAACAGGAGACACAGGAGCTCCCACACTCAGCAAGGCTCTGGGCTTCCAAAGTACAATCTGACTTTGGGCGGGCGAAGGATTCCACATTGATCTCCCTCGAGGCCATTTGCTTGCTGAGAGACAACAGAGCTCCCTCTGTGAAGGGCACCAGCCCAGTGAATCCTCAACAGACACCCCCTCTCTAGAGAGGAGAATAGAGGCTTAGGCATGCCAAGTGGCTTCTCTAGGTCCTGTGGGTCAGAACTGAGAACTGCCCAAAGGGAGGGCTGAGGGCCAGCCCTTCTACTGCCTGAGGCTTCATCAGGCCCTGACCTGGAGGGAAATGTTATGTGGTCACCTCACCCCTTCCCGGTCTGGAAACACTGTACAAGGTAGTGACACACTCTGAGAATCCCTTTGACTTCCAAAACATGCTGATGGTTATTTCTCTTACATTAAAGGGAGTTTGAAGACCCTCGTTATCGAGGTTCCATGTTCCAAAAAAGGCAAAATTCAAAGATACTCAGGGCCTAGTGGGAAGTGACAATGACATCAACGTTTTCTCTAATCTTCCTAGGAAAATGCAAAGAGTGTCCTCCTACCCTCCTATGCAGCTGGTGGGGAGGAGCAGAAGTCCAGATTCCTTTGGGACTGTGGGACATTCAGGGGGGACAGCCCTGTTAGGGTCCCAGGAGAACGGCAGTTTGAGTCTGGATTCTGGGACAGGCCTGGTCATCTCAGGGGCCTGGGTGGTAAGAACCCTCCGTGCCCACTCTCACCTCAGAGCAGCCCTAGTTATTGATGGTGGCGTGGTGCAGCTGCCCCCTGTCCAGGGAGATGGAGTACCCCAAGCCATCCGCCAGCTCTTCAACCACCTCCTGCATGCAGCTCTGCAAAGACAGTGGCTGAGAACCGGGCCAGGAGGTCTCAGGAACCTGCCTCGACTTGGCCACAGGAGGAAACCCCAGCAGAGATCAGGTACCCAGCAGTGTCTGTGTAGAACTCCAGCCAGGGAGGGAATGAGATGACACCTAGAGGGCTCGGGACTGACATATGCATAGAGGAGCTTGGTCCCCAGCACCCACAATCCCATCCTGCTAGCCAACACCTAGGCTAGGAACATGACACACTGCCAGGTTTCCAACGCAGAGCAAAGGGCTCCTGCCCAGGATGGGTCCCCGCTCTGCGCCGCTGTCCCTCACTCCACTCCCCCAACACACAAGGAGGCTCAGAGGGGTGTGGGGCTGGGATCCCCTTGTGGCCTAACCCGGTTGGCCTGCCCTGTGTTACCTGAGGGCTCCTCCTGGCTAATGGCCAGAAGTGGTGCAGGTGAGGGCCAAGCCAATGTGTGTAGCGACTGAAAAGTCTCTGTTTCTTGGCTTTCCTGAAGCCACAGCCTCGACAAGTCGGGAGACAACAGCAGAGCATCCTGCTGTCTTGAACGTCTCCACTCAAGTGAGCTCAATAGGAGGCTATGTCTAGAATGTGGGCGCCTGGAGACCAGTGTGCTAAGTTCTGTTAGGGTCTGTCACCAAGGAAGTGAGGTCACATCCTCAAGCTTCCATTACCCGGGCCTCTTCTTTCAATCACACCAACCCTAAACCCCTCTGGGATCTTGGCTGCTCACCCTCCTTGTCCAAGTCATCTCCAGAACTGTACACAAATAGCCAGCAGAGAGCCCCACACAGGACCTTGAGATGGAACCAGGCTTCCTGCTTGAGGAAGCTGAGTTCAGGCCTCTTTTTCCCTAGAAGCTCTGTGTCCTGGAAACACCATTGTGCCTCCCAGGGCCTCCTCAATCCCTCAACCTGCACGATGGGGACGAGGCCAGAAATAGCTCCCTCAGGACGTCCTCAGCTGTAGAAGAGACAGTAGTGACAACACCTGGGGTCTGGTTTCACGTGTGTCTGATGCACACACTTAGAGATGAAAGAATGACAAGAGGGGGTGGGATATCGTGTGGAGTACCCCTCAAAACAGGCCTGTGTCACAGCTCTTGGACCTTGAGCAAGTCCCTGCCCCTCTGGGCCTCATTTCCACGTCTGCACCTTTAACGGGTTGAAATTAGAGGAAATTCAGATATTGCCAGTCACTGGCATGAAACCTTCCACGGTCTCCTGTTTCCCTTAGAGTCAGAGCCAAGTGCCTCATGTCGGCCTATGTGGAGCGCAGCCTCCACCACGGCGCTCAGTGCTCACTGTCTCCTGCTGTGCACATCCTTGTGGAAGTGCACAGTCATTAGGAAGTGACTTCTGAACAGAATGCAGCCAAGGTGATGGGATGTCACACAACCCGGGGTCAGTAACAGAAAGCCTGCCCCTTCCTTCTTACTCACATTCTTGAGCCCCCTCCCTCGTTCCCTCCTCCTGTTTCCATCTCTCTCTCTCTCTCTCTCTCTCTCTCTCTCTCTCTCTCTCTCTCTCTCTCTCTCCCTCTTATATCTCTGGATCTTGGGGGAGCAAGTGCACATGTTTTCAGTTCCCCTATGAAGAGGCTCCATAGGAGAGAACGGAGGGAATGATCGGCCAACAGACAGGCAGGAACTCCGACTTTCAGTCCAAACAAATCCTGTCAACATGCATGTGAGTGAACTTGGGAGCAAACGCTCCCCGAGTCGAGCTGCAATAGAGCCACAGCCCCTGCTTCACAGAGACCTTGAGGCAGAGGCACCGAGCTCAGCCGTGCCCCATTCCTGGCACACACACTTCGTGAGATGTTAAGGATTTGTACGTTCTAGGTGCAATGTCTTAGAGCAATGTCGTCAGAGAGCAACAGAAAAAAGCACAGTCTGCCAGTTCCTGCCACTCTGCCCTGCCGTGTCCCCATCTGCCCTCCTCTCTCTTCTCAGGCTCCTTGCAGCCACGCTGCCACCTCTCTGACCTTGTCTGGTCAGACCCACTTCTTCCTGTGAGTCTCTGCACGAGCGGTGCCTTCTCCCTGACACTCAAACTGTTCCCAGACACAGGCAGGCGTGCCTCTCATCTGTCACTCTGCTCACAGCAAATGTCACCTCTGTGAGGCCTTTCAGAGCCTCCCAGGCACAGTCTCCAACGTCACAGATCTCCCACCTAGAAGGGCATCTCATGGTTTCCTCCTTCTTGGTGTCATTTGGATAAAGTGATTCCATGAAGGAGGGCTTTCTGCTTGGCAGATGCAGAGGCAGCATCTTCCAGTGACCTCAGGAACATGACTGTCTCTTCTGGGCTAAATGTTTCCCCTCCCAAGTCCATTGTGAAAGGAAACCGTCATTTCTTCTCTTTCCTGGGTCTGGTTTCCCCCAAGAATACAGGGAGCCATCCCTTCTCCCTGGAATGCAGCACCAGCCCCTACACCCACAGCCAGAAAATTAGCGCCCAGCTTCAAACACCACCAGATCCTGAAGTCAGTTCCTGCTGAGGCCTCCCATCCATTTTGTAATTCAATGGTAACCCCTGAGGTCACCTAACTCTACAAGGCCAACATTACCCTGATACCAAAACCAGACAAGGACAACACAAAGAAGAAAAATTAAAAGCCGATACTGCTGATGAACATAAATTCAAAAATCCTCAAAAAATATTCACAAATCGAAACCAGCAATACATTAAACAGATCATACACCATGATCAAGTGGAATTTATACCAGGGACTAAAGGATGGTTCAACATCCGCCAGTCAATCGATGTGATACATGACATTGACCAAATGAGGAAGAAAAATCACATGAGCATCTCAATAGAGAAAGAATTTGACAAGACCAAACATCTATTTATGATAAAAACTTTTGGGGTCGGCCCAGTGGCGCAGTGGTTAAGTGCACACATTCTGCTTTGGCAGCCCGGGGTTTGCAAGTTTGGATCCCTGGTGCAGTCATGGCAGCACTTGGCAAGCCATGCTGTGATAGGCATCCCATTTATAAAGTAGAGGAAGATGGGCATGGATGTGAGCTCAGGGCCAGGCTTCCTCAGCAAAAAGAGGAGGATTGGCAGATGTTAGCTCAGGGCTAATCTTCCTGCAAAAAAGAAAAACTGTGAATAAAATTGGTATAGAAGGAAAGCACCTCAACATAATAAAGGCCATATACCACAAACGCACAACCAATATCGTACTTAATGGTGAAAAAGTGAAAACCATCCCTCCAATAAAGGAACAAGACAAGGGTGCCCACTCTTGCCAGTCCTATTCCACATAGTACTGGAGATTTTAGCCAGAGTAATTCAGTAAGAAAAAGAAATGAAAGGTATCCAAATTGGAAAGGAAGAAGTGAAACTATCGCTGTTTGCCAATGACATGATTCTATCTATAGAAAATCCTAAAGAATTCATCCGAAAACTATAAGAAATAATCAACAACTACAGCAAAGTTGCAGGATACAAAATCAGCTTACAAAAATCAGTTACATTTCTATATACTAACAATGAACCTGCAGAAAGAGAAGTCAAGAATACAATTCCATTTAGTATCCCCAAAAAAGAATAAAGCAAAAGAATAAATTTAACCAAAGAGGTGAAAGACCTTTACACTTAAAACTATAGGACAGTATTGAAAGAAGTTGAAGAAGATAGAAAAAAATGGAAAGATATTCCATGCTCATGGATTGGAAGAATAAAGATAGTTCAAATGGTCATATTACCTAAAGGAATCTACAGATTCAATGCAATCCCAAACAGAATCCCAATGACGTTCTTCACAGAAATAGAACAAAGAATCCCAAAATTTATAGGGAACAACAGAAGACCCCAAATAGCCACAACAATCCTGAAAAAAAAGAACACAGCTGCAGATATCACAATCCCTGACTTCAAAATATGCTACAAAGCTATGGGAATCAAGACAGCATAGTGTTGGCACAACACACACACACACACACAAACACATACACACAGATCAGTCGAACAGAATTGAAAGTTCAGAAATAAAACCAAACACCTGGGGCCGGCTCCATGGCCAAGTGGTTAAGTTCGCACGCTCTGCTGCGGCGACCCAGGGTACCGCTCGTCAGGCCACGTTGAGGTGGCATCCCACATCCCACAACTAGAAGGACATGCAACTCAGATATAGAACTGTGTACAGGGGGAGTTTGGGGAGATAAAGTAGAAAAAAAAATTGGCAACAGTTGTTAGCCCAGGTGCCAATCTTTAAAAAAAAAAAAAAACACCTAGAGATAGCTAATCTTTGACAATGGAGCCAAGAACACACAAAGGAGAGAGGAGAGTTCTTTCAATATACGATGGGAAACGGGACAGCCATATGCAAAAGAATGGAAGAAGCCTATTTTCTAACACCAGACACAGAAATTAATTCAAAATGGATTAAAGACCTGAATGTAAGACCTGAAACCGTAAAACTCCTAGAAGAAAATATCAGCAGTACGCTCTTTGACATTGGTCTCAGCAGGATCGTTTTGAATATCATGTCTACTCAGGCAAGGGAAACAAAAGAAAAAGTAAACAAATGGGACTACATCAAACTAAAATGTTTCCACAAGGCAAAGGAAACCATGCACAAAACAAAAAGACAACCCACCAACTTGGAGAAAATATTTGCAAATCATATATCTGACAAAGGGTTAATTTCCAAAATGTAGAAACAACTCATAGAACTCAACAACAACAAAAACCAACCTGATCAAAAAATGTCGAGAGGATATGAACAGACATTTTTCCAAAGAAGATATACAGATGGCCAACAGGCACATGGAAAACATGTCCAACATCACGAATTAGGAGGGAAATGCAAATCAAAACTACAATGAGATGTCACCTTATCCCTCTCGGAATGGCTATAATTACCAAGACAAAAAACAACAAATCTTAGAGAGGTTGTGGAGAAAAAGGAAACCCTCATACACTGCTGGTGGGAATGCAAACTGGTGCAGCCACTATGGAAAACTATGGAGATTCCTCAAAAATTAAAAATAGATATACCATATGATCCAGTTATTCCACTCCTGGACAGTTATCCAAAGAACTTGAAATCAACAATTCAAAGAGAATTATGCACCCATATGTTCATTGCAGCCTTATTCACAATAGCCAAGATGTGGAAGCAACCCAAGTGTCCTTCAACTGATGATTGGATAAAGAAGATGTGGTGTATATATACAATGGAATA